ATATAGTTCAGGCTTGCCTCAACCTGAAGATCCTGCATTCCCAGTTTCTCACTTGCTGAAATTTTTATTCAGTTATCAAATCACCAAAACATAAATCACAGTAAATTGCATGAGTGCCCAATAAATATTTATTGGATAAATAATCATGGGACTAAGCAAGAGAATTGAAGCCAATGTCTGTTAAGTTCACTGGCGACTGTCAAAAGTAGCCTGAGTTTACAGATGAGGCAAAACTCAGAAGCAACTGAACAAGAAAGTGAAGAAAAGAAAACAGACAAAGCGAAAGAGCAGCAGCGGTGTCAAGAGAAAGTTGCTTGTTTTCATTCTGCTGTTGTCATTATTGCTATTCCTCTATACTGAGAAGACAAAGAAGAAAAATATTGAAAATGACAGGGACAGGATATAACCTGATAATTGTAGTTAAGGGGATCTTAAAATGCCAGCAAAGGGGTAAGGAAGCAAAGATATCATGAAGGTTAGTTAACTTAAGCATGACTATATAACGAGTTGAAAATATTTGAATCTACAAAGATGCTGGCGGGCTAAAATAAACTACACCTAGTTAGGAGGAGCAAACAAAAGCGAACCGTGTCAGGAGAAAGACAGTCCAATAAGCTGGCTCCTTTAAAAAGTAAGGTACAAGGAGGGGAATGGAGCTGTTTCTAGAATAAAAGAAACTCACAATGTGCAAATCTGATGGATTCTGACTTTAAGGAGAAGCAAGTGAAAAACTAAAGATGGACATTAAACCATCTGAACTATCATGTATGAAGTGTGGTTATAGGACTGCTAGGTTTATCTTCATTTGTGGGTAGGTGAGGCACAGTCCTACAACTGCAATACTAGTGGAAGACAGACAGAAGAGAATCTTGAGATCCAGGCCAGCCTGGGCTACACAGCAAGCTCCTAACTTGAGGTATAGGGATAAAACTGAAAGTCAAAAAGTAGGTTAAATAAATAAATAAAAATAAAGCCTTCCTCTTGGGACACGTTAATTGGACGTTCTATGCAAAAGAAAAATCTGTAGTGTAACATGAAGACAGAGTATTTGTTCCCGAGGAAAGAATGTGTTCCCTAAAGAGGTTAATGTTTCAGTCAAGGGGCAGTCACTAAAAAATATCCGGTCTATCTCTGCCATTATCTCGATTTTATTCACCCACTTTTCTTAAATAAATCAAGGTCCTGAGAAAAAGTGAGCTACGTAAACGATAGGATGGAGTGTTTGAAAGAGTTACGCTTTCTAGATTTTAAAAAATAAAATTGTTTTCTCTGCTTATTTATGATAGAAAATAAAACCGTAAGGATTTGGATAAAAAAATACTTTAGACTCGAAGCATCCCAATGAGTAGAATGTTGAAGTACGGGGGGGGTCTCTTTTCCGATCTTATCCTCAGCAATTCCCAAAGCACTGGGGTCCTTTTTTTCTTTCCAGGCACGCACATACCCTCTCTCTCCCTCCCTCTCTCAAAGCGTCAGCTAATAATTTAAAAAAAATAAATAAATTTTTATTTTGTCAAGAGTACGCTCAGAAAAAGGGTAATAATAGTGCATTCCGGGAGAGAGCACATTGTGCCGCAGGAGGGCTGCGGGGGCACCGGTCAGGACGCCCTGCAGCGGGTGGCAGGGAAGGCGGACCCACGAGCCCGGCCAGCGGCGCCCCAGAACCCTCCCCTCCGCTCCCCTCCGCCGCCGCCAACTGCGGCCAAGGGCGGCTGGAGCACCGAGCAGGGCCAGCCCCTTGTCCATCCGCCCCGCTAACACCAAGGGAACCAAAGCCAAAGCTTCCGCGCCACTACCCGGCGGGTTCCCACTTCAGCTCCGCGCCCCGTACTCCGCTTCCGGGCCCGCGGGGGAGGGCCGAAAGAAAACACGCACCAATCTCTATGTAAGCGTGGAAGACGTCTGGCTTCTACGCCAATGAGAGAGCTGGTGGGCGGAGCCAGGGGCGTGGGCTCGCTCCGGGATTTAAACTTGAACGGCCGACCGTTAACGACGGCATTGAGCGTGAGCGAGGGCGATTTGTCCCCCGTGTGATTGCGAATCTGTGGTCCTCACTGGGCGGCGAGGAGACGACCCAACCCGCGGCAGCGGTGGTGGCGGCTGGTGACGAGCGCGGAGCCGGCGGCGGGGGACACTTCCTGGGCCAGGGCGCGGCGGAGGCCCGTGCTCCTTCCCTGGACCGCCACGCGTGGATTTGCGTTCCCCTCCCTGGCCGGGCTCTTGCATTCAAGGTAAATCCCGGCGTGGGCTGCCTGGTGCAGAGGCCGCCCAAGCTCCTCCAGGTCACAATGTGCACCCTGTACGCGCCACTCTTGCCCGGAGGCTGAGCGAGCTGACTGAGCCCTCGGGGCCAGCGTGGAGGCTGGGGACCGGTCCCTGGGGAACCGGCACGCCCACGGCCAGATGGTGCGACCCGTGTTTTTGTTCGAAGAGCAGGGAAGTCGTCTTACGTTCGGGTTACACCTTTTGTGGGCTCACACCTACAGCCAGCCTTCCGTAGCGTTTGCTTAGGATTTAGGATAGCGGGTAAAATTGAAGGACCCGCTGTGTGTGACTGTTTCCCGGGTAGAGATAAACCTTATAAAAGCTGTACAATAATAATGCAAACAAAAATATTAAACAGTGCCCTTTCAGGTTAAGTTTTTCAACACGCAATGCTGATGAAAGTGAACGCTAAAGCTTGTGCTGGGTAACGAGATTTCCTAGAAAGCAGGTGTCATTCGACTTGGAAGTTAACTTACACCATAACTTCAGTTATATCCGAATCCACCCTCCGAATCCTTTCAGCTGTAACTAGGTAATAACCCTGGACCAATACACTGCTTAAGATTTAAAAAAAAAAAAAATAGGTATTTTGGTCATTCACAAAATATAAGATTGGTGGTTTAGCTTCTGTGTAAGTTTCTCTCTAGCTGGTGAGATTGTCGTGTTTTATTAGAATCAAAAGAAACTGACCATAACCTGTAGACCTTATGAAAAGTTGCACCACCACATTTGAGGGGTAAAATAAAGGGAATGTAGTTTGAACACAAAGGACAACAGCTTATCAATGTTTTGTAAACATGCCATTTAAAAGTCCTCTGGGCTTTAGTGTCCACAATCGTCCCAGGCCAGCTCCAGAAGAGAGACAGACGCACACATATTTCAATTAAACTCCAAAACCTTTTTAAATGGAGAAAGTAAAACTTAAGCCCTTCTTTACATTTCTCCAACATCACTCCTATCTTTGAGTTTTAATATTACTTCAGTGATTTTGCAAACATACATTCTGGGGAATTCTCATTTGCTTCTTCTGAGATGCCTATCAACCATAAGGTCACTGAATCATTCTTTTAGATTCAGAGCGTCTTAAAAGAACTTTATTCGAATTTAAAGCCTTAGGCTCTGGCTTCTATAGACTCCTGAGAACACCTTTTAGTTAGGGCTTTGGAAGGGGGACTTTTTAAATATGGGCTATTTCTTAAAGTCTGTTTTTCTTTTCTAGGTTTTTCCTTTTGGTTAACTCAAGTCAAGGCAAGCCAAAATATGGTAAGAAATTGCTCAAACAGATCCCAGCACCCAGTGATGGCTCACAACTGCCCAATCTTAAGATGCCTTCTCCCAACCTCTAAAGACACCCATGTGATACACACACATACAGACATTAAAGACTTAAAAATTTAAGGACAAAGCAACTCCTTTTAGAATGTTACGTTGACCAGAAATGTTAAGTCACTTGGTATCACTGCTTTCCTAGCTCCTCTGCGAGGCTGTGAAAGCTGTGATCGTGTTGCACTTCTTCTGCACAAGTCACCCACTTTATCCTCTAAGCCTGGAACGCCCACAAGTCTGTGATTATATACTCCACCCCTAGGAGCTATAGGACTTAAGGAAGCCCCAGATTACTGTAAATATTGTTCTAACTGTCCGTGTGTTCCTTGTATTGAGCAGTATCAAGATACAATCCGTTCTGAGTCTTGAACATAAAAACAAACTAGTTACTGGTTGATTGACAAACATTTGGGTTTTATAAACATGTCTAGTAAACGTGAAGAACACTTGCAGTGACAGTTACTAAAGTAGGAATCTTTTAAGTTCGTTTGCTATGGCATTGTTACAAAGGACAATGTGTCAAGAATTTCTTATTTTTGCATATTAGCAGTGCTTTAGCTACATAATTTTCTTGCTTTTAAAACTTCTTAGTGACCCCGTAAGATATGACTGACATACTGGCTGACCTAAATTAGGCTTCCGTCCCTTTGTAGTCACACTAAGTATGTGCTAATTTCCAAACCTAGAAAGGACTTGTATTTTCTACCATGGAATCAAAACTTTTTCTTGTTTGGTTGAGGAGTTTCTTATAATAAGCCCAGCTGGCCTTGAACCTCCAGCTTCCACCCAAGGCTGGGATTATAGGTGTGTGCCAGTAGACCTGATTGGCTCAAAACAGATTTTACCCCTCTGTCTCCCAATTCTGCAAAGTTGAACTTCCAGAACTTGGCCAACAAAATCCAAAAATGTTTTGACATCTCTAAAGGGTCATAAGAAGAGTGCAACATACATTATTTTTCAGAACCTAAAATATCTACTCTTACCCTTGGTAGAAAAAAATTGCCAGCCTCTGCACTAGCTGCCTCATTAAAAACATACTGTCTGGGCTGGAGAGATGGCTCAGAGGTTAAGAGCACTGGCTGCTCTTCCAGAGGTCCTGAGTTCAATTCCCAGCAACCACATGGTGGCTCACAATCATCCATGAGACCTGGTGCTCTCTTCTGGCCTGCAGGCAGAACAGTGTATACTTAATAAATAAATAAACATTTTAAAAAAGACATACCGTACTACATCATACCTGGCACTAAACCCATCTATCCAATCTTTAATTGGTGGAATTTAATAAGAAAGTAAGACACTCTGGCAAAGATCTTTCCCATAAGTGGTTATCTCGTTTGCCTTGAAAAGGAACGTTCAAGTGTGAGATGCTGTTGACTTAGCAAAAAAGAAAAAAGAAAAAGGAACATATGTTATTTGTAGTATCAGGCTTTAATGAATTTAAATTCAAGGCACAGATTTCCAGGGGTATAGCTAACAAGTGCTTTTTGCTTTTTCATTTCATAATTCTTTTGGACAGGAATTAGAGAATATTTAGACCCTTTACTGTTTAAGACTTGTTAGGTCTTTTTTTATGAGCCAGTCTTTAGAATTTTAGCTGGTTGTTGCTTCTTGTCCTGGTAGAGAGCCTAGCTTGCTGGGCCTATACAGTAGTGTTAACTTCTGCATCTATTATACAGACCCTCTTTGTTGGAGTCTCTGAAACATTATTTTCTTCTTCTGTGTCAGCACAGTCCCTTTTGGTCTTTGTTTCTTCCTTGTGGAGTATATGTGGGTGCTCAATGCGTCCTCTACGTACAAAATGCTGGATCCGGGATTCCAGTCCTTGACATTTAGGGCGATCCATGAGGGGCTTATATGTGCGCATTCTCACTCCTTCTACAAAGGCACTAGCTTGCTTTATGACAGAGGACTTAATGTTTCTCCATTCTGTTACTTCATCCGTCTTTGTTCCTGCCCCACATGTTATCATGACAGAATCTAGTCCCTGTAGCATGCTATATAGCATGTGGGTTTTAACAGCATGATTAGCCCATAACTGTTGTAGGTGGGTAACATTGAATTCCTGAACCTCGTGATCATAAATCCATTTGGTATTTTCAAATTTGCAGTCATACAAAACTAGAGGAAATTCAACAGCCATGCTAAGGAGAAACAAATGCAAGAATGCACAGCAGTTAGCCAATAGTTCTTTTTTAAATACCGAGCTTTAGTTGAGATTAAGGGGACAAGGAAGATCTACTAATGCCACTGGTTAGTAACATCTAAGAAAATACAACACTGTCTTAATCTGGAGCAACTGTGACTTCATTTTAAAAGTAAGGAAAAAAAAAGCAATGATCAATTTGATTGGTATTAAGTTAATGTCAGTAGCAACAAATAACCAAGATGTGGGTTGATAATCCATAAGATGCTCTGGCTCCCCATACCATAAAATTTAAGACCGGTTATTTATCCAGATTTGTTCAGCCTAGGAATGAACTACTGGTATCACTGTTTAGCCACAGCCTGTTCACAAAAGAAAAGCCTCTTTTCTACCTTCCCTATAATTTCAGAAGCTGGGAATTAGAAGCCCAGTCCAAATATCTATTTCCTTATTAATGGAAAAATCTAGTATATGTTCATAACATTCTACAAATCAGAAGTTTGTGAAGGGAGCTGGGGAGATGGCTCAGTGGTTAAGAGCACTCACTGTTCTTCCAGCCCACATAGTGGACTACAACCTTCTGTAACTCCAGTTCTAAAATATCTGACACCCTTTTCGTGGTTACCAGATACACAAGTGGTGTGCAGGCATACATGCAGACAAAACATCCATACACAAAATAAAATCTAATAGTATAAAGTTTAATGAACCACATTATTATTTCAGTAATCATGGGAGAGAAAAGAATGTACGAGTTTGGTTTAACTTACCTATATTGAGGTTTCTCAGGATTTTTCTCTATGTTTAACAATTCATCAATAATCTCTGGCTTTTCCATTCCTTGGCCAATCAGGAAGAGGATAGCCATCATACACCGAACTTGATGATACAGGAATGCCTGGCCAATCACTTCAAATTGACATAACTGGAAAGGTTCTTGCCTTCTCTCCTCACCCAGAGTCTGAGCCACTAGTTGTACTTGTGCAGACAGAATAGTCCTCTGAAAATTAATCACTCCATTGGCCACATCCATTTTACACAAGTTTCTGAAATCATGAGTGCCAACATACTTCTGAGCTGCAGAATTCATAGTTACAATATCTAAATCAGCACGAGGGAAAAAATAGCGGTAAGTCCGCTCAAGGCAGCTAAACCTAGCACTGAAGCTAGGCTCTACAGGGGCCCAGGCCAATATTCGGATATCTGCAGGGAGCACCCGATTGAGAATGTGGGTATAACGGATCTCTTTAGCAACATCATCAGCTTCATCTTTTAAGTTAGAATCATCTGAATCCCTGCCCCTTGGAAACTGAGAACGTAGGTCCAGAGAAATCACCTGTAGAATTAGAGAGAAACTGTTTCAGAGATGATCTAAAGACTCAGTATGTACACTCAGATTCCCATTATTACGTGCTTTGAGAAATAAGGTATTGGCCCTTACCTGACCAAAGGCACTAACTCCTTTGTCTGTTCGACCACACCGGTGATAGTTGGATGTCTGTCTGCTTTCTACCAGTCGGGTCTTGGTTAAAGCCTCAAACAGTTTCTCTTCAATGGTATTGCTTGTGTTTTCCTGACTGGCAAAGCCCTGGTAACCCCAGCCTAGGTAGGCTATTTTTAGAGCTACATGTCTTCGGCCATGAGCACTGAAATCAAATGCACGCTTAGCTTTTCCAGAGCCTAAAGGATTTTCTCTGATGTTTGAGTCTTTGATACTATTGGCCTGTTCTTTCTTAAGTCTTTTCACTTCCTGCTCCAGTTCCTTTACTCTGTTTAAAAGTTTCTCAATCTGGTTTCTGTCTGTGTTTTCAGCCATGACAGCAGTAGGAAGAAATCATGCAGGTCCTGCATGGGAAAAAAAAGTGAAGTAATACATCAGTTCCAGTGGCTGGTCCTTTGGAGATGTTAGTGTCACATGAATGAGTTATCATCTAAGCTGCACATGGCAGTGCAATCTTATAGTCCCCAGTACCTGGGGGCACAAGTTCTAGGCCAATCAGGGGTACAGAACAAGATACTACTTCGAGAAAACAAAAGAACACTCAGATTTAATTTGATGTTAAAAGTGTAGGTTTAGATTGCCCAAGGTAGTTTAATTAGTATGGATTCATCACTCAGACACTGTCCTTTTACATTCTATCTGGCTACTTCACATAGGAAAAGGGAAAGATGCACCTATTTTTTAAAATGTAGGGAAATGCCTCAATTTCATTTCTCTATTCCTTACCAAGATGATTTGTGTAGAATGTTTTCCTCCCTATAACATTTCCTCTTGATTTCTCAGTAATTTATACAGTATTTTTAATAGTGACAATTACTTATATGGGCTACTTATGACTACTTCTGTTTCTATTGTTTTATATTTCAAGTAAGTGGCATATATATTGTTATCTAATGTTCTGTTTTGTTTTAAAGGTGGCCCAATAGAAGCTGTCTTAATTGAAGAAATATAATAAATGATTATATTTCACATTAGAAGTAGAACCTGGAGATAAATTTTTCTTTAAGCAGTTGTAATGGCAGAAAAAAGGTAATAACTATTAGCTTTTTTACAACCAAATTTCTTACGTTTATAAAAGATTTCTATAACAGTTATACAAGAGTTAGTGTGACATAATTTAAATCTGGAAGTTGAAATTTCTCATGTATTTCAGTAACCAAACAGCAACAATACCACAGTCTGAACACTTAGGTAGTTCTAACTAATTTATGACTGAAATTACTTGGATAGCATTTCTACATCTGTTCTAGGGCTGACTGTGACTAAATGGTTCCCTTCTAATCTTTGGAGTTTATGATGAAAAATTAAACATTAAAATCTTACAGGTGAATCTAAAATTACTAGAAGAAATATGGGGAGATGACGTTTTTAATATTACTAAACTATCAGAGAAAGCCTGGTGGGGAATTGAACTTAGAAGCCAGGCAGTGGTGGCGCTTGCCTTTAAATCCCAACATGGGGGGGGGGGGGGGGNAGGAGGATCTCTGTGAGTTCAAGGCCAGCCTGGTCTACAAGATACAAGAGCTAGTTCCAGGACAGGTTCCAAAGCTACAGAGAAACCCTGTCTCAAAAGAAACAAAGACAAAAAAAAAAAAAAAAAAAACTGAACTTAGAGCTTCCTGTATGATATGCTGGGCAATTAGTCAGTCACTAAGCTGTATCCCTAGGGGAAAGGCATTGCTAAGTAAAACATGTTCAAGTATTTGAGAACAATTAATTGTGGAACAGTCTACAAGGATTAGAAAGTTTGATGGTATACCACTGTGGAGGAGTGGAAAACTCACAGGTAATCCCATCTTGGAAATTGAACCTATGCTACACGCTTGTGCAAGTGTGTAAAAGCTTACAAGGTACTCGCTGTACTTTTAACAAGTGACTATAAGTCTAGTGTAAATAAGGAACTGGATAAATCTGATACAACATTAAATGGTAAAGTAGTTTTCATGTGCTGACAGCTGAATCACAATTCAAAGAGAAAGATTTTGTGCCATGTTCCTTTCTCGTGAAAAAAAATTTAGTGTTAATACGGAAAATTAGAAAACTGCTAAGAAACTGTCTTTTAGAGAGAAGTTTCATCAAGGAGGGAAATCCTTTGAAACTATAAGCATGTATTTCAACTTCAAGAGAAGCACAGGGAAAGCAAAGTAGCAAGCAATAGATAAAACTACCTTGATCCCAGTCAGGAAAGCAACCACTAGGTGTTTAGGTGGTTGAATTTTATTAGGACAGATTTGTCTTATACATATATACAGAGTATATGCATACATATGTGTGCTTTATGTATGTGCACAGCCCATTATGTTGGTTTTTTTGATCTTCAGGCCATTATCACTTAGGAGTAAAAGCAAAGACTCAGTGTGATTCAGACTGCCAAAGCATGATTCCAGCTCTGCTGTTTACTACCTTTGGGCAAGTTAACTTCCTGAAGCTTCCTATGAAAAAGAACTCATCCTAAAATATAAGGATTATATGGATTAATAAACATGAATAATGCCATATGCATAAAGCATCCTCTAAGCATGTTATATAATGTTCAGTAAGCATCATGTTCCATTACATGGAGTCTCAAGCTTTCCATATGCCAGAACTCAGCCCATACCATAGGAGCCACTAAATGTGACATGGCAGTAACAGTGTAAGAAAAGAGTAGACATGACAGCAAGGAATAGATAGAACTCTACCACAACTATTGAATTTATTATTGCTTTGGATTTTCCATTTGACTATAAAATTGAGACAATAATGAGCAATTAATGAGATGGAAACTGACCAGTTGTTATCTCTTACAGACAGCCTTATAATGTAGAAGAAGCAATGGAGCACCTGATAGGACCCGGTGGACAAAAATGGGCCAGTATGGACCCAGAAGAACGAATGTTAGCTGCTGCTACAGCTTTTACACATATCTGTGCAGGGCAGGGCGAAGGAGATATTAGGAGAGAAGCCCAGGCTAGCCAGTATGATCCCTACAGTAAAGCCTCAGTGACCCCAGGAAAGAGACCTACTCTGCCTGTACAGCTGCACTGCCCACACATCAGAAGCCGCCTCACTTCATCAACATTTTCAGAGGCTTCCCAAAAATGCAGAAAGCCAGTGATGAAGAGAAAGGTTCTGCGCAGAAAGCCAGATGGGGAAGTACTAGTGACAGATGAGTCTGTTATCAGTGAGTCCGAATCTGGTACAGAAAGTGATTTGGATCTCTGGGACTTACGACACAAGCTGATGAACCTACAATTTCAAGAAGGCACAGAATCCCCAAATGATGCCTCACAGAAACTTAACCTACCACATGAATATCAAGTTAACCTACCACGTGAATATCAAGGAATTTCACAAGAAAACCAGCTCATTTGCTATCTGCGAAGAGAAGAAATGGGCCCTCCTGTTTATGAACAAGACTTGATTGTTGCCAGCAGACCCAAATCCTTTATTCTCCCCAGGCTGGATCAGTTAAGCAGAAACCGGGGCAAGATAGACCGAGTAGCCAGATATTTTGAATACAAAAGGGACTGGGATTCAATGCGGTTTCCTGGTGAAGATCATAGAAAGGAGCTACGCTGGAATGTCCGAGGACAAATGCTTTCCAGAACAGAACCCCAGTCCAAGCCTCAACATGTGTATGTTCCAAACAATTACCTAGTACCAACTGAGAAGAAAAGATCTGCCCTTCGGTGGGGTGTCCGTTGTGACCTTGCAAATGGTGTCATGCCTAAGAAGCTTCCTTTCCCTCTTTCTCCTTCTTAAGTCTTTTTTACCTGTCTCCTTCCATCGTATTTAGGATAACCTAGTTCTTCCTCTCTCTCTCCTTTTAAATACAACTGACTAGAAAAGCATGCAGAACACAGGGTAAGGACTTCACTGGTCCTTCCTATGTCACATTAGGTACCATACGCCACTTAGATTTCTAAACTGACATTCTCAAATGCAGCAATTTGGGGAGTTGGGGGGACTACCTGAAATGTGAATTTTGTCAAAGTAGTGCCATTTTGAAAAGACTTGTAAACTTTGTTTTTTTTTTTAAATTAGTGGGTATTAAGCTCAACTATTAAAGAATTTGGCAAATGATAAGTTTGAACCTTGTTTTAAGTACTTCCCAGTGTAAGAGGACCTCAGCCAGCTCTTCCTCTGATCATCTAATGATACTCAAAGTTTCTGTATATAGTCTGACATGAAGACACAGAAATGAACTGTCTGGGTACAGATCAAAACACTAGTTCTGGGTTTTTGCTAGAATTTACATTCTTGATAATCTAGTAAGGAATACCTAAAGATCAGAGTTGTCTATTTCAAGCACTAAATGTGGGCCTGAAGTTTTTATTAAAGTGTTTATTCAAAAAAGAAAATAAACATGAATAGTCCTGGTCATTGCTAGTTGCTGAAACACTCTCCAAACAATATCTGAGGCTAGAGATAGAATACATTGACCCAGGGCCACCCACAGCTGGACATGATCAGGAAGAAAGATAATCAGTAATAGCTAAATGCTGTGGAGGGACTGACATCAGGAAAGTAAAATCTGCAAACTCCAATAGTACATCTGAGCAAGGACGATGCCACAAATGCCTGGGGATACAAATTAAGGACCTTGTAATTCAGCAAGATCCATCATACATGCAGAGCACAAAAAAAGTTTTAGACTCAATTCTAGGTGCAGGATTAAAAATAGAACAGCTTTTTCAAAACAGTTAATTTAAACAAAAAAAAGTTTGCCTGACCCAAAGTTCAAATTAAATCAAAGGGGTTTTGAAGGTATGAATCCCAGTTTAGCTCCTAAGCATAGATCAACCCAGTCATGAGGCAGATTTAAGTGGGATGACCCCAAGACTTGGCCCAGTACACTAGGTTTACCAATAAAATTTGGAAGGTGGACCCACAAAGGGAATTCCTGGGTGTACTAAGCACCCACCCTAAATTAGTAAGCCTCGGAGTTTTTGAAGTTTACAAAAAAAAAAAATAAAAGGGGGGGGTGTGGATAAACATTTCCTCGTGATTAAGAGTTCAAAACGCGCTATGATCATTAACTCTGTATAACTATAGCGTAGAGCAAAACCCAAAATAAACTAGTTTCTGCCACGCCTTCCTCCCATACTTTCTTTACTGGGCTACACTATTGTTTGTATTTGAGCAATTCAGAGGCCCTCAACGCCAGTTGCAGAATCTAAGCCCCGCTGGTGGGACCTATCTCCAAGAAGTCCCAGACACGACACACACGCGCGCTGTCCTAAGTCCCACCTCACCCACCGGCGCCTTCCTGAAGCCCTTAAGTACCGGGGCAGGAGATAGTCATTTAGTTTCCATTTGCTCATTCCTCTCTAAAACTCAAAGCAGCCCACCTGGAAGAGTGCACACTTACCTTCCGGTCATCAGCTCGCGGCCACGCGACTAGCAGGAAGCTGAGACTTTGTGTCTCCAGTAAGCATGCGCCGCCTCACGGGCGGCGCGCCTGCGGTTCTGGGAAATGTAGTTCCGAGGTCCGGTGGCCGGCTTTAAGCCAAAACCCAACGTAAGCACAGATTTCTGACTCAGCCCTGTCTTCACCCCAAGGCACAATCAATGACAAGACAAATTACGAAATTATAATTATGGTCTAAAATAAGTTTTTTTAATGCTGACTAATCTATATAAAAACTAGGAGATTGAAGATCGTGTTCCAATCTTGCACATCGTTTAGTTAACAGAAATTTAACATTGAGAGTAAAAGACATCTACTATTAGAATGGTAACGTAAAGGCTAAAGGGAAATGCTATTATAGCCTGAGTGAGACTGTGACTGTGCAGGGCAAAGGAGTGCTGCTTCAGCACCACGGAGAGATCATGGCGACAGTTTTGTTGCTTTTCTATTTTTGTCGTTTCTAGAAATGTTGCCACGACTCTTAAAATTCCAGTCGGAAAACATAAAATTCTGGTTCATTGGTCCAAACTTAGCATAAGGGATCTACTCCCGAGCTGTGCAATAATAAATGATGTAGGTAGTGGTGACCAGTGTTGCTTTAACGCGACCACGCCTTAGAATAAAAATTAAAATACGTGTATAGGAGGGCACATCAGAGATACCCAGGGATGAGACAGATGTCTGCACTTGGATTCTGCTTTCTTTCCGAACCTCCAGTCAAATCCCTCTGTTCCTCCGCTACCCTGTGCAATCTCACACCTTTGATGACCAGGCGGAGCTGTCCCGGGAGACACCAGCACGAGAGCCTGCAGCGCGGTGCGGGTACCGCCTCCGTGCTCAGTTTCTCTCTGCTGTGCCCATGGCCGGCTGGCCAAACGGAAAGCTCGCGGGTGCCCCGCACGGCTGCGCCCCGCACCTCGCTCTCCCCCCCGCCCGCCCCGCGCTGGGCCCGCGCCTGCGCAGTGCGCCGCGCCACGGGTGGTCGCGAGGCGGACGCCGGTCCCGAAGCCTAACCATTGGCCACTGAGCCGAGCCGGCGCTTCCCCCGCGCGGGGGCGGCAGCACGTGCCGGGGGCGAGAGCGGAGACCACAGCTATGGCGTCGTTACTTTGGGGAGGCGACGCTGGGGCGGCAGAGAACGAGCGGCTGAACAGCCACGTAACCGCCGCTGAGCAGGGGAGGGCCCACGGGCGGGAGCTAGAACAAGGAATCCCGAGGGAAGTCCCCTGGGAGGGGGAGCGTCCCTCTGGCGTTTGGAGTGGGGTGTCAGGTGATGGGGGGGGTGTGGGCAGGGGTGGAAGGACCACGGGAAAGGACCCTCCCAGAGGAAGGGCAGACCTTGGGTTTGAAAGGGCAAAGACCCCTGGAAATACAGATAGAGAACACAGCTGCTGGTCCTAGCACTGCTGAGTTTTCTCCTCTCCTGATTTTCACCATTTAGCAGGTTTCCCTTCTTCGTAGCCACCTTTCCCTTGTAGGTGTTGTGTTCATCCAGGTACTGCCCATATTCAGACTAAGAGAGCTCCAGAAGAGACTGGAAACTCACGTCCTTTTGTAGGATAATTCGTTCAGTGGCCAGACTGATGAAATCGTTAATCCTTAACATTGCAAAGGAAGCTATTTGGTTGGGGTGGTCTTCCCTCCCGCTGCTGTAGGGATAGCACCAGGCTTGCTGCTTGATGTCCTGCTTCCTAACATTGGTTGAAATTTGTGCCTTTCAATAGTTTTCAAATCTCGTCCACCCCAGAAAGAACCTCCGTGGTATTAGAAGTACCACAGTCCCAAACATAGGTGAGTGATGTTAGGCTAAAGTAGACTCGCTCAATTAAACATTTTTGCTTTCCCCCAGTATCTGCCAGTTGAAACAGCTTCGGCTCCTTTAATTTTGCATGCACAACCGTCCCCTACCTTCCCAATCACTTTATCTCCCTGGAGGTGACTCTGTCTGCATACACTATAAAACCGGTGAGAAATTTTAAGAGTCCACTGTATTTCTTTTCAACGTTTTTCTTTACAGTCATTGTTTCTCTTTTGCCATTTTAGACGGCTCGCTTAACGCTGAAGAGGAAGATGAAGAAGACGATGTAGGTAAGAGACGTTTGTTTGCACGCACTTTCTGGCGTTGCTCGGTTTATCATCACTTCAGGAATGTTAATGAATAGGATTGCATTGGGAAAGCACTGTCTTTGCTTTATTTTTGAATGAATACTATCAGACAAAAATACTAAGATAGGAGGGGTGTATTTCTTTAGACAAGATGAAAACTGCAAGGAGTGGGTTAAGGATATTCAGTTTTGCAAGGAAGAATTATTCGGTCCTGTCATGATTCGATGTTGGTTTGCTCAAGGTCATGCTCAAGGTCAGGGGTTGGTGCAACAGGGTATAAGAAACTGGATTTTTGTAAAAGAGGGAATTCTCGGTGCTATGGGATTCCTTCTACAACTTTCCTTAGAAGAAAGATGAGCCTAAGCTGTAGTTGTTTTTGTATACTTTACTGTGTGGGAGAAAGCGGTTAATTAGATGCCATTCAGGAGGTTTGATGCCTTTTTTTATTTTTGCTTTTCTAGTGGATTTGGCAGCCAGTTCACTCTTAAACAAATTAATCCGTCAGTCCTTAGTAGAATCCAGCCATCGAGTGGAAGTCTTGCAAAAGGATCCCAGCTCACCACTCTACTCGGTGAAAACCTTTGAAGAACTACGGCTGTGAGTACCTTGACTCTTAGTGATTAAGAAGGCTCGTGTTAGCTACAGCTGTGAGTATCTTAACTCTTAGTGATTAAGAAGGCTCGTGTTAGCTATGGCTGTAAGTACCTTGACTCTTAGTGATTAAGAAGGCTCGTGTTAGCTACACTGTGAGTATCTCAACTCTTAGTGCCTAAGAAGCTCATGTCAGCAAGCACTAACTAGGATGCTGGCACTAAAACCACCAGAATCCCCTTTATTCTCTAGTATGCTGTAGTCAAATAGATTGTATACTATTACATGCCATTAAGCTATAACTCAAGGTGTTGAGCTGAGGAGGAAAGAGCATCCTGCTTGTGGGCGGCACTGTCTCGTGGGCTGGAGTCTCTGAGGAACAGGTAGGGCAGGAGAAAGCCGGCCAAGCGGCAGCACACAGAGCAGCAACCTGACTCTTTCACCATTATGCCCTCCCCTACCACAGTGGAGGACTCTACCCTTTCTCAAACCATGAGCTAAAATAAATCCTCCTTAAGTTGCTTCTATCAGGCACCATGTCAGAGAACAGTCCCAGTGCTCAGCTGCAAAGTGGCTTCCCTCAGAAGTGTACCTTGCAAGTGTACACTTCCGAATGTGGTACACGCTGACCACAGAGGCTTTGCATGTCTGGGAATTTATTTAGCTACCTATGTATCCATCTGTTTATTATTTTACAGAAAGGAAGAGTTACTAAAAGGGATTTATGCAATGGGATTTAAAAGACCATCCAAAATCCAAGAGATGGCCCTCCCGATGATGCTCGCACACCCGTGAGTTTACAGGGTAGTGGTCTTCCAAGTTGGTTTTGGTCTCTTCTATTTATACCCCGGATATTGTGCTCAGTTTATACCCAGTCCTCTCCTCAGTTTCACAGTCCCCAGAACCTCATAGCACAGAGCCAGTCTGGAACGGGGAAAACAGCTGCCTTTGTCTTAGCGATGCTCAGCAGAGTGAATGCCATGGAGCTGTTCCCACAGGTAAGGAAGGGCGGTGGTGGAATCACTGCGACTGCCATGCCAGCAACGTTTCAGCAGTGCCGGGTCTGTCCGCAAATATTAGGGTCACTGCAGGAAAATGAAGACTAGGGGTTCCTTCCTAAAATCCTAGCGCCCTGGGTAGAGTATGGGGATGCCCAGCCCCAGCCCTAGAGTCCAGCTGCCTCCAGTCCCAGGCTCACCACCGCTGAGTGTCCGTTTCCCAGCATCTGTTTCCTTCCTGTAAAGCCATCTCTCTAAAGACATGGCTGCTCATTGACCAGTTCATGCTGGACTCCCCACACCCACGCAGTGCCTGGATCGTAGGGGCAGTTGATTAAGCATTGGATGATAACTGAGTAAGTATGTGTTCTCCTCCTAAAGTCACCTACCCTTTTAGCACGATGCTTGGTTTTAAGTAGGCATGTAGTGATGGCACTGCTTAGCTGTAGGGTCAGAAAGGCATACAATTCCCTCATTTCTCAGCGTGTCTTCCTATCATCACAGTGCCTGGCTGAGGCACCCAGCTCATAGTTCTGGCCTCATTTCTTTTTCACAAAAAAGAAATCTGGTACTGTTTCCCTTTTTCCTCCAAAGGGCACCAGAAAGTTCTTTCATGGACTTCCCACATGTGATAAAAAGCCTTCCTCCGCCAGCGATTCCTATAAATTGTAGGTGCGTGTGATGGAGGCCACGCCCAGGGAGTGTGCTTTCCACATAAGGTTATTGATTTTAGTATCCATTAAATTATTCAAGAGGGCCATGTTTGAGCCCTTGTTTTGAAAATGTGTGTGGAAACTATTTCAGTGCTTTGGTAGTTACCTTCTCTACCATAGACCCTGAACATGAACACTTTAAATATCATCAGTTTCTTCCACTGGCGTCTTCACTCAACAGTCGCCATTTCTATGGGAGGGCATAGCAAATGGGCATAGGAGGGGAATATTATCCTGGCAGGATTATGCATCTATAATATGGATTAAAAGCAGATCATGCCAGAACAGGCAGACTCTTAGGAGTAGAAGGTGATAGGTATTGTATGCTGTGGTTCGTCATGCCTTCTTCATGGACTCCCAGCTCGCTGCATCCCTTTCTCTCTCCATCAAAAGACAGTGACCAGTAACTTGCGTTTCTAAATAGCCCCATAGAGAGAAGTATATAAAGTAACCATTTCTTTTCCCTTCAGCTCCAATGCCCCTAGTATTCACCTCAAACCCATCAGCTACTTATCAACTGCCAAATTGTATTCGATTTAAAATGTCTCATGAGCTAGAATCTTCAGTGCTATTTCTGTGACAACTTTTAACTGTGGTTCCAAT